TCTACACCTGAAGTGATTCAGTAGCCTGAATTACGCCAGTGACTATTTCAGTCTTTTGCAAAGAGCTGAAAGCATTCTGAACTCTTCAGTACCCACCTCTACTCTGTCCCTCTAGAATCTTCCAAGGTAAAACACCTTAGTGAAGGGTGGAATCAAAAGCATGCCTATTCAACTTAAAGATGCAACAATGAACTATACTGTATACCAGTCACAGGGGCTCTTGTCAACTAGACTGCAAGCTAGATTCATGAAAAAAATGTCTAAGAGTTAAGATTAGAGGCCAAGAGCGTGGCTCACACCTATAATCCCAGCGCTTTGAGAGGCCAAGGTGGGTGGATCAGCTGAGGTCAGGAGTTCAAGACCAGTCTGGCCAACATGGTGAAATCCCATCTTTACTAAAAATATAAAAATTAGCCGGGTGTGGCGGCACATGCCTGTAATCCCAACTACTCAGGAGGCTGAGCAGGAGGCTGAGGCAGAAGAATCGCTTGAACCCAAGAGGTGGAGGTTGCAGTGAGCCAAGATCACGCCACTGCACACCAGCCTAGGTGACAGAGTGACACTCCATCTCAAAACAAACACACAAAAAGAGTTAAGATTAGGATCATGGTATTTAACAAACACAGCAGTTTAAAAAAACATCTAGGGCCGGGTGTGGTGGCTCACGCCTGTAATCCCAGCACTTTGGGAGGCCGAGGCAGGTGGATCACGAGGTCAAGAGTTCAAGACTAGACTGGCCAACATGGTGAAACCTCGTCTCTACGAAAAATACAAACATTAGCCAGGCGTGGTGACGCGCCTGTAATTGCAGCTACTCGGGAGGCTGAGGCAGGAAAATCGCTTGATCTCAGGAGGCAGAGGTTACAGTGACTGAGATTGTGCCACTGCACTCCAGCCTAGGCAACAGAGTGACTGTCTCGGAAAACTAGTAATAATAATACAAAAAATTAAAAAAAAAAAAACTTCTAGACCATTATCTTTGGTACCTATCTCAAGGGGACTATTATAATTTTAAAAGAATGCACTAGAAATACAAATATGTTCCAAAAAGAATAAAAAAGAGAGTCACACATACAATCTGTGTAGCAGTGTAACTGAATTAAATACAGCTGGTTATTTCAACGGGAAAAATCTAGACTACTGATTTTTAAAATATCTATTATTTAATAAAAATAAAAAGGTCCCATGACTGCACATGCAGACAAAACCTTAACAAGTGAAAATTAAATTAACAGTAAGACTTTTGATTACACAATTGATAGACTATTACACAGTCAGAAGACCAGAATCTGATAACCAGCTGTATGATGTTAGGCAAGTTACTTAACTCCTTGGGAATTTTTGTTATTCACCAATCAAAATGAGCAGAGGTGATTTTTGAAGTCCTGTGTACCTCAAAATCTATGATTCAATTCTACTCAGTATTTACTGAGCACAGTCCCCACTATACATATAGTTGTCAAACTATTAAAATTAATGCTAAGGGCTGGGTGCAGTGGCTCACACCTATAATCCCAGCACTTTGGAAGGCCAGGGCAGGAGGACTGCTTGAGCCCAGAACTTCAAGAACCAGCCTGGGCAAGATGGTGAGAACCCGTTTCCACAAAACAAAACAAAACAAACAAACAAAACTGGCTGAGTGTGATGGTACACGCCTGTAGTCCCAGCTACTCAGAAGGTTTAGGTGGAAAGATCGCTTAAGCCCAGGAGTTCAAGGCTGCAATGAGCTTATGATCACGTCATTGCACTCCAGCCTGGGTGACAAAAAGAGACCCTATCTCTATAAAACAAACAAACAAAAACTAAAATTAATGCTAGATGTCTAGGAACCAGTAATAGGAGATGTGGTCCCCACTACCCCCTCTTTCATTTGGAGACAAGATCTCACTATGTTGCCCAGACTGTACTCAACTCCTGGGCTCAAGTGATTTTCCCACCTCAGCCTTGGGAGCAGCTGGGACTACAGGTACAGACCACTGTCCCTGGCTTTTTTTTTCTTTTCATTTTTAAATTTACTCCTCTCAGCTCATACCTATTTAAGAAAAACAAAAACCAAAAACCTTTATTGAAATACAATTCATATATCATACAATTTGCTCACTTGAGGTGTATGATTCAATGGGTTTTAGTATATCAATGGAGTTGTGTAATCACTACAATCAATCTTACAACATTTTCATCACTCCAAAAAGAAAACTTCTTACCCTTTGGCAGTCATGCTATGTTTCCACCAGCCTCTGAAGCCCTATTAATCTACTTTGTGTTTTTGTACGTTCACCTATTCTGGACTTTAGGCATTAGATTCTCATAAGGAGCATGCAATCTAGATCCCTCAAATGCATAGTTCACAATAGCATTTGTGCTCCTATGAGAATTTAGTCCCACCACTGATTTGACAGGAGATGGAGCTGAGGCGGTAATGCTCGACCTGCTGCTCACCTCCTGCTGTGTTGTTCCTAACAGGCCAGACTAGTACTGGTCCTAGGCCCAGGGGTTGGGGACCCCTGATATAGATGGAATCATGCAATATACAGCCTTTTGTGTCTGGCTTTTTTTTTTACTTCATATATAATGGTTATTTCATTTTATTTTCATTTTCTTTTTCTTACCGGTGCTCTACACATTCAGAAAAACTTCTCTAGTAACATACTACAGAAATGATCCCTGAAAATATAGTCTTAGTATATATGTTATTATTATTTTTTGAGACAGAGTCTCACTCTGTTGCCCAGGCTGGAGTGCAATGGCACAATCTCAGCTCACTACAACCTCCGCCTCCCCGATTCAAGTGATTCTCCTGTCTCAGCCTCCCAAATAGATTACAGACACACATAACCATGCCCAGCTAATTTTTTGTATTTTAGTAGAGATGGGGTTTCACTGTGTTGCCCAGGCTGGTCTCGAACTCCTGAGCTCAGGCAATCCACCCACCTTTGCCTCCCAAAGTGCTAGGATTACAGACATCAGCCGCCACGCCTGGCCAGTATATGTTTCTAAGGTAGCACACGTACCAGTATTTCATTTCTTTTTATTGCTGAATAATATTCTACTGTATTACATGGATATTTTATTCATTCATTCATCCATCAGTTGTGGGTTTTGGATTGTTTCTACTTTTGACTATCATGAATAATGCTGCTACCAACATTTATGTATAAGTCCATACAAAAACTTGTGTATTCATTTCTCCTATATATCTAGGAGCAGAACTATCAGGTCAGGAATAACTCTATGTTTAACCTTTATTTCCCTAAAGGAATAAAAAACAGAGTCTCACACACACAACCTGTGTAACAAGGTGATTGAACTTACTTTTTTTTTTTTTTGAGATGGGGTCTCACTATGTTGCCCAGGCTAGTCTCCAAACTCCTGGGCTCAAGTGATCCTCCTGCCTCAGCCTCCCAAGTAGTTGGGATTATTATCATCTTTTGGAGTATAGCCATCCTAGTGGCTGTGGAGTAGATGTTTTAAAATTACAACACATGATTATTGAAGTGACTAGTTTTGTGACTTTAAGAAACTCATTCCATCACTTTGAAATTCAGCCTTCTCATCCGTAAAATGGAAATAAGACATATTATAGGGTTCTTAAGGGCTTTAGTGAAATAATATAGAAAAAATTTATAGTATCTATCACAAAGCATACAATCAACAGTAGTTAATTATTATCATTAGGTTCTCTGCCTTCTAGAACTCACCAATCTAAATGGAAAAACAAAATGCCCTCATAAAGTATTAACTGGCAATACTTAAGTGCAAAAACAAGTGGCAGAGATAACAAAGATACAAGAATGTAAGGAGAATGATATGACTAATGAGTCTAAGGGATAGGAAAAGCCTGTGGGATATTTGCTGGATCTTGAATAGTAAGATCAGCATAGCTAGGAAAGGCAAGAGGAGGCAGGCATCGCACACATGGGCCCAGATTAAAGAAGGAAAAAAAGAGCCTGGGTATCAGAAACCCAAAACCAGCTGGGTATGGTGGCTCTAGCCTGTAATCTCTGCACTCAGCACTTTGGGAGGCTGAGGCAATAGGATTGTTTCAGGCAAACAGTTTGAACAATATAGCAAGGGCAATATAGCAAGACCTCAATTCTACAAAAAATAAAAAATAAATTAAAATAAATAAATAAAAAACATAGCTGGGTGTAGTGGCACCATGCTGGTAGTCCCTGCTACTCAGGAGCCTAGGAGTTTAAGGCTGCAGTGAGCATGATGGCACTACTGCACTCTAGCCTTGGTGACAGAGCGAGACCATCTCAAAAAATTAGTGGAAACAAAACAAAAAACAGGACTGTACATTCAGACCTGGTAACAGCAGGAAATATGTTTGAGTGGGTGGCACAGGGACGATCACAGAACTGAAGGCTCTGAATTTCATCTCCCAAGCAACAGGAGTTATTGAAGATTTACAGGAAACTATGAAACTAGGCTTTTAGCAAAAATAATCTGGCAGCAGAGGGAAAGACTTGAGGTCAATTAACCTATTAGAAAGTTGTTTCAAAGGCTAGGCACGGGGGCTCATGCCTGTAATCTCAACACTTTGGGAGGCTGAGGCAGATGGTTCTCTTGAGCCTGGGAGTCCAGACCAGCCTGGGCAACACGGCAAAACCCCATCTCTATAAAAACACACAAAAAATTAGTGAAGCATGGTGGTGCATACCTGCAGTCTCAGCTACCCAGGAGGCTGAGGTGGGGAGGATCACCTCAGCCTGGGAGGCTGCAGTGAGCCATGATCACGCCAGTGCACTCCAATCTGGGTGACAGAGTGAGATCCCGTCCTCCCGTCCCCCAACAAAGTTGTTTCAGATAAGATAAAAAATGGAAATTTAGATAAAGGGACCAGATGTGAGAAGCACAGGGAAAGAAGAAAGACTCCTTGAATGGACCGACATTATGAACATTCTGGAAATAACACAATCTGGAAATGCCAATATACCCAAAATGAAATCTGAAAATGACAATACATATTGGTAATCAAATAATTAATACAGACTTACCCTCTGCAATATCTGAGCATGATGTACCAATGGCTGTGTCCCCACTGTCCGCTACACTTGAACAGCGGCTGAAGCGGCTCCGAAAGGGCTCCGAGATAACTGGGGTCTGCCATTCAGTCCCCAGGGAACTGCCCTTCTGAATCACATTGGAACCTGAAAAAAGAGGCATTTCCCACCTTTACTGTGAACGAGCTGATGTAACCCCATTAGATAGTTTTTTTACAAAATCACATAAACCATGAGAGAATAGCAGCTATCTACCCCTTTCTCTCTTCTGTGCCTATTTCAGCTGCTCCGACCTAATTTTTTTTTTTTTGGAGACAGAGTCTGCTCTGTTGCCCAGGCTAGAGTGCAGTGGTGTGCAACTCACGGCAACCTCCGCTTCCTGGGTTCAAGCAATTCTCTGCCTCAGCCTCCCGAGTAGCTGGGATTACAAGTGCCTGCCACCACGCCCAGTTAATTTTTGTATTTTTAGTAGAACTGGGTTTCACCATGTTGGCCACACTGGTCTTGAACTCCTTACCTCAGATAATTCACCCTCCTCGGCCTCCCAAAGTGCTGGGATTACAGGTGTGAGCCAGCGGGCCCAGCCTGAGCTAGTTAATTTTAAGTGGAAATAATATGAGAAGTGAGAATATTCAAAGATGGTAATAAGTAAGACCCACCAAGAATCCAGGAGTACTGGAACAGAAAACAATCATATTTAATAGCAGTGGCCATTTATTGAAACCTGTAAAGACACAGCACCTTACAAACATAATCTTGCCTACCTACTTACTGAAAAGTATTACCATCCCTATTTTACAGAGGGGAGGGCTGATATTTGAACCCAGTTCTTTCTGATTCCAAAACCCACATTCTTTCCTCTTACAGTTTCTCAATGGTGCTTTTGGCATTCTGGGGATGACCATTCTTCAATGTGTAGTCTATACATTACAGAATGGTTTAGCATCCCTGGTTCCCACTCACTAAATGCCAGCAGCAACCCTCAACCAAGCAACAAGCAGTCCAGTTCCCAGTTGAAAATCACTGCTTCGAGGTTGCAGTGAGCCAAGATCGCGCCATTGCACTCCAGCCTAGGCAACAAGAGCGAAACTCCGTTCCCCTCATCCCCCCAAAAAAGAAAAGAATATCATTGTGTCACTGAACCAGGGTACCCTCAATAGGTGAATCCTATGGAGATCAAGGTGAGTTTTGAAAGTCAATCTGAAGAGCCTAGGGTTTTATCTTGAGAGCTATGTGAAGAAATCACTAAAACTGCTGAGCAGGTTAAGACAAAAAGACCGGTGAGATTGATTTGATTTAAAATATGCTGTTTGAGGGGAGGTAGGTAGGAAGTGTTCAATAAATACTTGATTCACTAACATTCTAGCAAAGACTTAAATTTATTTTTTAAAAACCACTATAATTTTCCTAAGGTGTATCTGGTAATCCATGTAAACAAATAAACAAAAAAACTAATGGCAGCTACTTATCCTCCATTTAACCTAAAGTGTGACAGCTGATATCAGAAAATACGGTTCTACAGACTCTCTGATCTAGTAGAAGGCAAATGATATTTAGACACAAATTACTTTATTCCTTTCTTCCAAGTTTAGTGCTTCTCCCATTTTTTTAACCTATTTTCTTCCACTTTTGCTCCTTTTTTGCTACCCTTACCTTGGCTTTCTACTGAAGGCAACCTGACTTTCCCCAAATACTTCTATTCTTTGGATCACAGTGACTGCCTCATTTGAAAGAATCTTTATACACTCAATAATCTGTAATTGTTATAGAAGACACAGGCAATAGTCAGAGTTTCTGAGCAGCATGAGATTAGCCAATGCTACTATACTAAGTTGGTGTAATTCTAACCCAAAGCAAAGAAATCTGACCTTCTGGTGAGTCTACACAGCTTTCTCTCTCTAGTCAGTGTAAAATTTGCCAATCTTTTTGAAACAGTTAAGATTGAGGGCCTCTATTACCACCTTCCTGACTTCCTACTGGAAACTGCTCCCTGTTACTACTACTAATCTTCCACTCTTCATCGTTACCATTTTTCCATCCACTTACTCCATACTCTAACTCCAAAGAGTTATTTGTTAAAAACATATTTTGGTATATTTATAGAGGTTTACGCTTATTTCAAAATTGAAGTTTAAATGCTGAAGTTGGCCGGGTACCGTGGTCATGCCTGTAATCCTAGCACTTTGGGAGGCCAGGGTGAGCAAATTACCTGAGCTCAGGAGTTGGAGACCAGCCTGGGCACATGGTGAAATCCCGTATCTACTAAAACACAAAAAAATTAGCCAGGCGTGGTGGTGCATGCCTGTAATCCCAGCTACTTGGAAGGTTGAGGCACAAGAATCACTTAAACCCAGGAGACGGAGGTTGCAGTGAGCTGAGATTGTGCCACTGCACTCCAGCCTGGGCCACAGAGCAAGATTCTGTCTCCAAAAAAAAAAAAGCTGAAATTTTTTGTGTTATAGTGCATGTCCTATCAGTAGCATCCTTATCAATTATTAAGACCTTTATTAATCTGAATGAGATACTACTGAAGAGAGGAAAAAACCATCAGAAAGTTTTGTTAGGAAAGGGAATGTTCCAAAAACTTCCATTATATACATAATTGTCATAGAAACTGTACAAATCTCAGAGAATGTGCAAGCACATAAGCAGGTGTTTAAAAAATATTTGCTGAGGCCGGGCACAGTGGCTCATGCCTGTAATCCCAGCACTTTGGGAGGTTGAGGCGGGCGGATCATAAGGTCAGGAAATTGAGACCACCTGGTTAACATGGTGATACCCCATCTCTACTAAAAAATACAAAAAATAAGATGG